CAAAAGTTATCAATCATATTCATAATTAAGGTCTTCCGTTTCCAACGGAAGACCTTCTACTGATTGTGATGATTAAGATTATTCTTTTTTTTTTTTTCCTAGACGCCAACTTTGACGCTTCATATCTTCCTCATTTTTAAACAGATTTTGTTCAAATTTTCAGAGCTTTTAGACTTTACAAAACACTGTCAGAATACCGTAATACAATTCGGAAATTACCTTCTGTTCACGAGTTATTCCCCTTTGATTGAATTTTGCATGCCTCCGATTTCCAGACAAAGGATCAGAAATGGTTATAATTGGAGCACAAAACCCTTTGAAATTGAAAAGAGGAAGCATTGAAGTTGTGCACATCGGTTTTTGTTTTTTGATTTTTGCATTAAAAATGGCGCTAGAGAGGGGTCAAAAGTTAGAACGCGGAAAACAGCAAAACAATTGACATATTTTCCTTTATATCTTGAAAACTAGAAATATTTTGTTAAGACATGAAGAACAAAAGTTGTGCATAATTGCAAGGGCTTTCATATTATACTATTTAAAAGGGGCTGGCCCTAATGATTAGGGATCTTGGGCCCTTAAAAGTTTTTGCTTTATAACTCAAAAACGGTAAATATTTCGATCTGGATCTTGGGAACAAAATTGTTCTTTTACACCTTTTTGATCTAATGAAAATGTTGTTTTGTTCGAGTATACCATGGGTATTGCGTAATACGTATTAGAAAGCTGGCCAGGTAAACAGGTAACGTTTTTCATTCGGCAAGGAAATCAGACCTTTTCATGTGTATATCTTAAACAGACTTGCTATCAATAATATACCCTGCGGTATTTAATGTTAATTTTCATTTTAATAAGGTTTAAAACGTGGTTTATGGTTCACTATTAAATTATTTATTACAACTAGTCTTTCTTTTCTTCTTTTTTAAATTAGATTAATAGTGTTCAAAAGCGGAGAATATTAAATCTATCTTTCTACGTTTATTATTACAACAAACTTTGTAAGTGGTTTTAAACTGTATGCATTGAATAATTCACGATCATTAGCTGTATGCATATTACGGTCTCCATGTTCAGCTCGATGTTTAGTTATGTAACCCAACGCGCGAATCCCACGCCTTTGATCGAGGTCACCAGTGTACTAGCCACCTGTGGCCATAAACAAAGCTAGTATTTGTGATCGGGTATAATGTCAATTTTGTACAAAGAGCTATTAATTAATGGAAAGTTATGTTTTTAGTTATATCGAATCAGTAAGATTACTTTACCGATCTTTTATAATCTTAATTCCAAACACTGGTGCATAAAAATCATTTTGAATTTTAATCGCTGTTTTTGTCTGTTCACGCAACAATACATTTACATCGAAATATTTCGAAAAAGCTGCCGTAATTAAAGTTGTTAATTAACATCTTACTGATCTCAAGAAAACGTTATTTTGTTTGAGTCTTGTGTTCTAAATGAGCTAGAAGCATAACACATATACAGGTAAGCGTTTTCATTCAGCAAGTAAACAAGAGCTCTTCATGCGTGTAATTAAAATAAACTTACTACAAATAATAAACCTAGCTACATTAGATGCTAATATTCTTTAGAATCGGGTTCTTGAAGTGTTCTGAGCTTTATTTCTAAACTATTTACTGACAACTTTCCCTTTTATTTCGTTTGTTTTCAAATTTGGATAAACCAGTCTACTTAACAGGGAAAAAAGATAACCTTTTCTTCTTATCATATAAAAACAAACAATAAAGTTAGAAAATAAAACAAAACTTTAAACATAGACCATTCACAGCCATTAAGTACACGCCTTTTACATTCACCTTGCGTGTTTACAATTATGTAACCCCTCCCTCGATAGCGCGTGGCAAAGGAGGTCACCGGGGATCAATCAGCGTGTGATCCAGCGACCTAAGGTCATACACAAAACAAACCATAGAATGGCCTTTCCAAATACATTTTGTAAACTAAGTGATGAGTGGATAAATATGTTGAATCTTTCAGATTATTTTATAATATCTTTGATTAAGTCGCTAGTACATTTCAATTTATATTTTATTCGCTGAATTAATTTAATTTAATCAGTATTTTATTATGTAAAGTCAGTTTACATAATTGGATTGGACATCAGGCATGGCCTATGTAAGTCCTCTCCAAGAAGGTCAAGGTTACAAATGTTAAGAAGTGACAATGACTTACAATCATGATGAAATAATTCATAATAAGTTACATTAATTTCTTCTTCTTTTTTTTTTACCAGAAATGGGGAAAAAAGAGAGATAAATTAATAAATTCACAAGAGTTATTACTTAGCATGTATACTCACTATACAATATAATGAAAAAATAAAAGAGTGCAAAGAATAAGTAAACAAATGAAGTGCAAAAGACAAATATGCAAGGAAATTTAAAAAAGAAAAAAAGCAAAGAAAATAATATTAATAATAACAAATAAATAAATCTGGAACAAGCAAAAACACTGGATAATAATAAAGAAAAAAAAATGAAAATGCAAAAGACAAATATCCAAGAAAAAATACAATATATATACATGGAAATGCTGAGATTTGAAATAAGTATAAATATCAAAAATATTAGGAAATTAATATTAAAACTTAAATATGAAATAATATCAAAATCGCTTTGAAAACTTGATGTATAATTGGACTGCTTCAAAAATTGAACAGTTAGTTTTATCAGGTAATTGCCTATCACCAAATAGCAAATTACTCAAAATTTGATCAGGAGAGAGGGTTTCTAAACCTATTATACTCTGAAGACTGTCAAAAAGTATCATTCTCTGATTATTATAGACAGGGCATTCTAAGAAAAAATGATAGTTATCCTCGTTTGGATATCCGCACTTAGTACAAGATGCCATTTCACTTAAATAGTGATTATACAAGTGAGCATTTAGATTACTAGATTCATTACGTAGTTGACAATGTATAATATTTTCCTTGCGATTACCATAATTAAAGATCTTGACATTTTTTATTCTGTCTATAGTAGGTTTCTTTAAGATATTCTTGAAACTTGAATAGGATTCAATACATTTTGTTTCTAATGGTAAATTGTTCCATAATTGTATAGTAGAAGGCAGGAAACTGTTGAAATATGACACTGTCCTTGCTTGAGGTATGACAAAATTAAAATTACCAATATTCCTAAGATTGTAACCATGATTTGGTGGCATAAAAGGTAGGACCATTTCTTGCAAATAGAGAGGAGCTATACCATACACAATTTTATAAAATAACAAGAGTTTTTGTCTTTCCCTTCTATTATTTAATGGTTCCCAACCTAATTCTAAATACAGAGCATTTCTAGATGAATTTTTCCTAAGTCCTGTTATTATTCGGGCTGCTTCTACTTGGATATTTTCTAGAAGATTTGAAAGTTCCTGTGAGCAATTATCCCAGACAATGCTACCATATTCTAAAATGGGTCGAATAAAAGCAAAATAAACTTTTATCAATGCACTCCTATCTAGCAAATGTTTCAACATTCTTAAAAGATTTAGCCGAGAACAAGCTTTTTCATATAAATTATTTATATGAGATGACCATTTGGCATCATTTTGGAAAAGGAGTCCAAGATGACAATGTGTTCTAGATTCATTAATAATACTACCATTAAACCCAAAATGGACTGGGGGATGGTCATTCGAACTTCTTGAAAAATTTAAATTACAGGTCTTGGTTGGATTAAAATCCACAGCCCATGTTGAAGCCCATTTATTAATTTTATCTAAGTCAGACGTAAGTGATATTGCTGCTGCATTAACATCATTATCTACAATTATAAACAGTGATGTATCATCTGCAAATAACCTTGTATTATTAGCTAAATTATCAGTTATGTTCGCTTATATTCGCTGAATTACAAGAAAGTTGCATATTAATTTTATTTTTATAAACATTGTATTTCTCGATATCGAGATAATTGCGCTTTGTGAAAAATTACTTTAAAATCATTCAGAATCTTTCATATTATTTCGTCTTACTGTTTATCACTCGCTCGTTTTACTAATCTTAACTGACTTCAAATTCAATGCATTTCGAATGCCGAAAAGACCACTTTGTTTGCGTATTAAAGAAACAGTTTATTTATCTCTCTAATGTTATTATTTAACGAGTTGCTATTTCTTTCATGAACATTAAACAGCATGTATATAATTATCACGATAATTGTAGGTGGAGGTCACATTTTTAATTGTCAGGAAAATCGAAAATAAAATTAACTACTTTTGAGTTTGTATTATTTTCTTCCTAACTTACAATATTATTGCATACAAAATACTAGGTCGGACGCAAGTAACCTAAATATTTCACTTGTATTTGAAAATTCTATCGAGCGTCGAATGAATTTTACCCGTTAAAAAGTGTACAAAAAAACCTTCCTATGCAGTTTTCTTTGGGAATCAATTGCCTTAGATAGTCTACTCCGACATGTGTTGACAAAACTCACGCAATGAGAAGCCATACATTTCAAACTTGTGACCTCTTGGTCAGTGCATGTGAAGATTACGCACGACAATTAGTGTCTGGAAAACGAAGTATGTTTTATAAATGATTTGACAGGTTAAGATTTGTTCTCATTCCAAATTAAATACAAGTTTACACAATCCCGTTATTTCTTTGTTATTTTATACCGTCAGTTATATTAGAAATTGTTTTAAAAACGTGTTGTTTAGGAAGATTAACCTTATGCATTTGTTTTATTTCATCTAATAAACTGAATTTTCCCATGATACGAATTACTCGTACATGCATGTAAGTACGCGTAAATGCAGTCTTATTTGTTTATGTGGAAGAGCGCCCAAAATAAAAACACTTCGAACTCTGGAATTTCCCTATTTTACTGTTTAAATCATAGGTCCGCTCAGCTGACGAGTTGTTTTAATAACAGTTATAAATTATATTCAAAAAAGTCCTGGCCAGCGATCGTTACGCTTGGTTACATTGCAATTAAACAGGTATATACTAATAAGATATTAAGATACTGTAACGGTGTCTTATTATAAATCTTGAGCATGGAAATATAAATAAGTCCGTTTCAGGGTTCTACTGACATCTCCATTTATTACATTCACAGATGAACACATAGAATAGTTGGAATAATGGAACAATGAAGGAATTTGGAATAATGCCCTGAAAAATCATAATAACAAATAATAAATACATAGCATAAAATATTCTGATATATCCGTATCAATATAGTAATTACAATCTGCAGTTAACAGATACACTGCATAAAGGGAGGTAACTCTGTACATGATTTACATACAATCAATGCCCCCTTTTAATATTACGCTTTGAAAAATATAAAAACATTAATATCATAAATATCATACCAATCTATGGGACTGAGCCTCTCCCATTCATTGTAGTCACAATATGGCTCACTGTACACGTATGTCCAGATCATAAAACTACAAATTATCATAGTTTACATAAATAAACCTATCATCATAAAAACATCTAGTAGATATATATAAAATAAAAAAATACTTTCAATAAAACAGTTACTCCTTAATTACTGTCTCTCAAATCAGATTCTGACTGTGCTAGTGCTATGGAATTAACTTTGGCAAAATTACAGATTTTACAGTTAAATCAAATATTAGAAATCATATTAGAATTAGTATATAAATGTTATCTTACCTTAAGAGAGAAAAGTATTGTCTCTGTCAATGTCAGAAGGTCATAATTATAAAACTTCGTAAATACAACCCTTTCTGGACAAATACTGGACAAAGAATGACCATAACAAACAACTTTTTTTTGGAGGGAAAAATACTGAACCAATAAAACACAACCTTACAAAGTCCAAACCAATGAAAACAGTGAATACTTCAAACCAAAGACCAAAGACCAGAACCTTCATAACCCAAGGCAATAATAATTAAGTACAGGTACTGCCTGTTCTACTTGGGTGACCTTTAAAGATTTAATAATGCATTTATATTTACAATTTAAAAACATATGAAATACATTATAGATTTATTAAATAAATTAATAAATCTAATACTGTAACAATACTATCGGTATATATATTTTCACCTAATGTGTTTTCATTGAGTGTTTTCATAAAAATAAATTGCTGGAGAATTCGAATATCATGTTCTCCCTGATCATATCGATAGCGCGTAGAAACAGCGGTATATGAACACACGCTTTTGTGTACAAAGCAAACGTGTAAATCAAAAGGATGGGGAAAAACGATGAAATAAAAACATTTCTCTATCAACTGAAATTATTGTCTTTAGACAGATAAAAATAAATGAATATTCGCCTGAGAACATGCGAAAATTATACCCAAATACAATGTAACGAAGGATTTTCGGTTTAATCCGAGTACACAATAACAATGTTGTGTACATGTATGAAATGGGGTTCGTTTAAGGAATAATAAATACAAACACCATGTTGTTGTTGTGGATAAGTGTATTATCAGTATTATCACAGCTCTGAAATAAATATAAACAATCATAAATATTTTATAACAAAGCATACATGTAGATCACTTGCCAGATAGCACGGTCAAATGAAGAGTTATTTCCCTTTAATTGTGCTCATAGATAAAACATTAAGAGTTATCTTTCTTAATCAATAATATGTACAAAGTATGAACACTCTGGAATATATAGATAAAACAATGAGATCAAATGATACTGAACTCTTCCAGAATAATATAATTATATAGACAATATTCAAAATATATATACATCATACCTATATGTGATATAGAGCCATAACTCCAATATATATATATAGCTGAACACAGCTGTACTCTATTCAGTGATCTGTGTATGAATAATATAAATATAACTTTACTATATTACACACTTATTGTCACAGATATAAAATATACTTATTACTCTGAATATTTACAAAGTCGTAAAATAATCACACAAACTGAACTTTCATACTTTATATTAGAATATTATTATTTGGGAATTTACCAGATAAACAATTAAGTAGAGATAATGAAATTAGTAAAAGTAAACTTACATTCTGTCCTGTCTTGGTCATTGTCATAAATAAGTCATCATTTCAAAAGCCAATATGTCTACTCAGACCAAGATCTCCAACAAAAGTAATTAACTAAGTAAAAACCAAAAGAGAGGGAAACTAACCAACCAATGAAATCCAAGTTGGCCTGGACACTACACAAGATATATATAGAAAGGGACAGGGGTTTAAATGACCACTGTGATGTCATACATCTATAAATAACTCATGAAACACAGATTGATGTAAATAATTCCATGTGGATTTATTCAATAAATGAAATGCTGTAAAGAAATAAATATGACAATTTAACTGAATTAATGTAATCCTGAAATATAATAATTAATATATGAAATAAATCACCCTATCACATACTTTCCCTCTTCGTGAAATGACGTCCTCGTCATTTACTATTTCATAGAGAAATAACGACTGTAAAATAAAGTAAAGTCATATAAAACATAGAATATCACTGAAAATTTATTTACACTTACCGAACTGACTGACTGACTTAATGTACTTATCTTAACTAATTCTTACCTGTAATAATATCTATCAGAGCCTTTTCTACGAGTTCTTTACTGTTGTTGGAATGAAATACATTGCTGGAAGCTAATGTCTGCAAATAATCAGCCCTTGTTTTCCAGTCTGGTTGTTGTTTTGCTATCTGTTGGTTTACTATATAGTCTCCACTAGTGATCCATGATGTTGTTTTCTTTACTCTTTTAGATCTTCTTGGTACAGTCTTTGGTATCTGTTGTTCATCAGCTGAGTCTTCATCAGAATTGGTATTATCCAAATCGTCATTACCAGCTTCTGCTTGTTGTTTTGTATCTGTAGACTGTTCTGTTTCCTTCATATCAGTGTCTTCTGTAATGGTAGCTACTGAAGTACCTGTGTCATCAACATGTTCAGCAGGTGAAGGTATTCCGGAACTACCCTCATCTTCAGCGCTCTCTTCTTCATTGGCCAATGTATTCTCCTGTGGGTTACTTTCTATCCCAGAAGCAGGTGTACTAATCTTGCTGTGAGCAATAGGTGCTGCTTCATGTACTAACATTTCTTCATTACTGCTCTCTGAGTCACTATCCTCATGTTGTGAGGTACTCTTCTGTTTGGATCTTCTCGTGACTCGAGGTTTTGTTAATTTCCTAGGTGCTGGCTTAGGCTTTTCTGTTGGTAATTCAAAATCTAAGTGTCCAATTGGTAGTAAAAGGTTCCGATGTAAAGTTCTTATACAGGTGTTGTTGCTTTCTTTCCTTACAATATACACTGGAACTTCTTTGTTTGGTTGACTCTGCACTATATATGGCTCTTCCTCCCATTTATCTGATAATTTGTGAGTGCCTTCGAATGCAACTATCTTGACCAATACTCTGTCTCCTGGCTGAATGACAGCATCTCTTGCCTTGATGTCATAATTCTTCTTCTGTCTTCCCTGGGCATTTTGGATAGATTTCTGTGCCAAATGGTAAGAATGTTCCAATTTAGATTTCAAAGATTTTATGTAGGAATTCAGGTTTTCGTGTTGATTTGGTCCATCTGTTTTGAAAATGAGATCTATTGGAAGTCTGGGTTCTCGTCCGAACATAAGAAAGAAAGGTGATTGGCCTGTTGTTTCCTGTTTCATCGAATTATAGGCATGAACCAAAGTTGAAATGTGTGACTTCCAATCCTGTTTTTGGTAATTTTCAAGTGTTCCTAACATCTTTAGAAGAGTCCTGTTGAAACGTTCTGTTAAGCCGTTGCCCATTGGGTGGTATGGTGTTGTTCTCGACTTGCTTACTCCAAGAATGTTGCAGAGCTCCTGTATGATTTTGGATTCAAAATTTGCACCTTGATCACTATGTAGCCGCAAAGGTATCCCATAATGGACGATGAAATGATGAAATAATGCCTCAGCTGTGGTTTTGGCCGTTTGGTTCCTTGTAGCTACAGCCTGCGCAAATCTAGTAAAGTGATCGGTGATGACCAGGATGTTCTCATATCCTCCTTTTGATTTTTCTAATTTAAGATAGTCTACATGTACATGCAGAATACCTCTTTTTTATCCTTCGCCAATGTGTTCCTCCTTAACGGAAAAAATTATCAGTAAATTATATTATACCGAACGAGGTTGAAAAATGACGAACTTTATTTCTTAAAATTAACAGCAATTATCAGACTTTTCTCATATCACTGTAAAAATGCCCTAAAAACTAAAACCGTCTGGTTTGACTTTGTCAACGCGTTTTAGATCGGGTTCGAGATTTTTATTAAATATCTGGAGTATTTCGCTTATTCTGCAAGTCTTTATAACAAGATTAGCTTTTTTAAAAAAAAAGCTGAGAGTCAGCCACTGGAATACAGAAAGTTTCTTTCTTGGTTTGTGATGGTATGTGATTTGTTTTATCCATCATGTTGTGTTCATTAAAAGTCATTGTCGTCTAAGTTAAAATTCGCCCAGTCGTTTTCTTATTTGTAACATAATTCTGTACATAATAAATAATAAAGCATAGAATAAATTTTAGTTAAACTACATCGTGATCATTATGATGACCTCCAATTAATTTCTCTTGGGCGCGGACATCAGATAAAGTTCGTCTCGGAAATGAACAAAGCCACTATGATCCCAATCATTGAACGTGTAAGTATGTATACATTTTCATTTTTACTGTTAAATTCTATAAATAATATAGATTATGATGCTGAAAAGGAAGGTAGACCTTGGGTTAGATTGTGTTAATTATTATTAGATAAAAGTTTTTTAATCGTGCAGGTTCGAGGCAATGCATGATAGGGGAAGGGGGAGGGTGCATACTGTATGTATATTTAATTCAATTTAATTCTAAATTTAAGCATCCATTTTTGTGTTATTAGGAAAGAAAAGAATTGCTTCCAAAATAAAGTAATAAACTGGAGATTCAAATATTTTATACACACAGTACGTATACCCTAATATGATACTGGATTCCATCTCGCTCACTCTCTATTGGGGGGGGGGGGGGGGGGGCTGTCTATAAATCCGCGCAGTTTCTCTCAACTATCGCAGTTCTACTGTGGTCAGTTTCTCACCTGTGGGCGCGTTCACGTGCACAAGCGGCACTTACATGTACATGTCTATCATCGTGTAAATTATAAGAATTTACACATCTTAAGTGATATTCTGACGTTTTCATAACTTTCATCATTAAAGTAAAGAGATTCTTTTTTTTTCACTGTCTTGGGACCTTTGTGCAAGTGGATTATTGTGTGAATTCCGACCCGTACCTGTCTTATGCAAGGCATTGATCGAGGGAGTCTTGCATCAGGCATTCAGAGGAATACACACAAATCCTTGAACTTGCAACGGCGATTGAGGGTATATATCAAGTGTTAAATGTGCTCTGCATATAAACTTCTCATCTTCTATAAGAAGCACTGAAATATTTTCATAATATCATATTTCCCACTTAGAACAATCTCTTCTTTAATTTTTCGTCGAGAACGACGAAGAACAATGCAGTCTATAAATAGATCGAGGTCGCGTCTTTGTTTAGAGGTGTTTGTGAAGAATCACGCCCTTTGGTTGGAGCAAATAGCACGAGTTTCTTTAGAACAAGTCGTGTACATCTTTTTCCCAGAATTCCAAATTATGCAAGCGTACTTGCAGTTTTATCCCACCGTAACTAGTCAGCCCGTGGGCTGACTAATGGAAAAAAAAAAAAAAAAAAAAAAAAAAAAAAAAACACTGGCAGATTTAGAGGAGGTTCAGGGGGCCTGCAAGTCCCATTTTTGTATCCAAAATATACACAAGATTTAATAAATCAATTTTTATGTGGCTTTGAGCCCCTACCCCGACCCAAAACTGGTCGGGCCCCCCTTATCTAGATTCCTTTATCCGCCACTGAAAAAAAGAATGTGTTGTTCTCTTGGATGTCGATATCTGAATTATATTTTAATTAAACATCCTGTCTAATATATCATGGGCGCCCATAATAGGACGATTATTTGTTTTTTAAAATAAAGCGGTTCTTACAAATGTTAAAAAAAAAACTTA